ATTTTAGGGTACCAAGTCTAGTCCAGTCCCTTCCACAATGAAAGGTCACTGAAGAGCAAGGAAGAGGAGCCAGTAGAGGGCAGCAGAGCACAGCAGACCCAGACAAGTCAAGGGGAGACTCTGCCTCTGTCCTCTTGCCTCAAAGAGCCTGGTGGCGGGCACCTCTGGCAGCCCAGTCCTCACCAGACACCACTACAGCTTCTCATGAAGGGGGTAAGAAGCAGGTGCCTGGAGGAAGACTGTGAATCAGCCCTGTCCAGTAGAAATATAATGTGAGCGTGTGCATAATTTCAAGTTTGCTGGTAGCCACTTAAAAGAAGAGGGAAAAAGGAACAGGTGAAAAAAAAAAAAAAAGGACCAGGTGATATTAATTTCAGTATTTTTAATTTACCCCATATATCCAAAATGTTATCATTTCAACATGTAATTAATGTAAATTATTGAGATGTCTTACTCTTCTAATTAAGCCTTTGGAATCCAACAGGTATTTTCTAATTTATAGCACTTCTCAATTTGGATGAGTCACATTTCAAGAGTTCAACAGCCGCTTGTGACTATAGGCATTTAATTTCGATCACGTAAGTACTTCTTGCAGGATAAGGGTCTTATGAGGATTCTAGCGGTCCCAGAGAGGCCAGTCCAAGGACCTTTCCTGGCTTTGCCTACAGCCTTGACCTACAGGCCCCTCCCCCACCCTCCCCTCACACACCTGCCACAATTATTTCCCTCAGGGCACTGTGGTTTCTCTCCTCACCTGTCAGGGCATTTCTTGCTACTTCCTAAAATGTAAGTCAGTGTGTCATGTCCCAGGTTAGGAACCCTCCATGGCTCCCCTCCAGTCTGAGACCAGAGCTGTTCAGGCTTGAGGAGGTATAAGGGTTCAAAAGAGCACAGTGATTGAGAAGACAACTTGATTCTAGATCCAGTTGCCCACTGAGAGAGGGAGATCCTCAGAGAGGAGAACAGACTATGGTCTCATGGAGCCTGGTGCAGATATCAGATGTGATGGCCTTGGGCAGGCAAATGGCTTAAAGCTCGGTTGGAGTTTCCTCAAAATAGTACTTACCTGATAGGCTTGTTGTGAGGATTCCATGATAGACTTATAATAGTGCCTGGCACATAAGAGCTAAATCAATGTTAACTCTGAAAAAAGTGACATTTGCATGACAGCATTTCAACACTTTTAAACAATTATTTTTTGGCAAAATATGTAAACTTCTGGGAACTCTCTCAGCTGCTGTGCTGCCAGATGGGCCTGACACTGCTCTGATCAAACCCTTATGTGTGGTTCCTCAATCAGGCTCATATGACATAACCTCCTGCCACCTCCAGCTAAATGAATCCCATCAATACCAGTGGGACCCAGCCAATTAAAATCCCTTTAAACATGATTTAGCTATTTGCTAATACATGGCTAATGCTTTTGAATGCTTGCAAAGTTTCAGGTATTTTTCTTTTTTTCTTTTTGACATGCTTTAAGACATTTAATTTTCACAATGACTTTATGAATTAGAGTCTATATTTTGCACATGAAAAGACAGGTCACAAAGCTAAGAAGTAGCAGAAGATTTAAATCCAGACAGTCTGGCTCCAGAGTTTGAGCGTGGGCCATCCTTTCTACTTTTCACCAGCAAAATTTATTCCTTCAACCCTTAGTCCTCATCTTAAAAGCTCTCACCTCTGTGAAGCCTTTTCAGCCACTTCAGCACCACTTCCACCCCCACCCATGACCTGTCCCGTGCTCCCTGGGCTATGTTCCCAGGCACTGGCTTCAGGCCTCCAGCTGGACACCTGTCATGTGACATCACTGTGAGCCGTGCTAGGACATAGTTCCTCATTCCAGGGTGTCAGCTTCCAGCCTGGTGACAAGGCCCAGGCCCAGGGGAGGGAGCCAGATGGGCCAAGGTTTGATATCTAGCTCTGTCACTTACTTCATGGATACCTTAAAGAGAAGGGTTACTTCACTATTCCTCATAGGTGTCATGAATGCTTTTGGCACTATGTGTAAAGTGCCTGAAACATAGTAGATGTTTTATAAATCATGGTTTCTTATCATCAGTGACAATGATTATGCTATATTTTTCCTGTGAATTAAAAAATAAATGAGTTTCTTTACAATCATGAAATGACATAATCAGCAAATTGATACGGAATCCAGTTTGGTTACAAACTTAAATGCTTTCCGTACACCTGCCCTTTGACCTAGCTGTTCTACTTCTGGCAAATTACCTACAAATATATTCCTCTAAGTAAAAAACTGTGTATGCACAAGATCATGCATTGTAGCAAAAGATCGGAAGCCCCAAAAGTGTCCAACACTAGTGAACTGTTTAGATATTTTATTTATTTATTTGAGAGAGAGAGAACATGAGCATGAGTGGAGGGAGGGGCAGAGGAGAGATAGAAGCTCAGCAGGGAGCTCAGCAGGATGGTGATGGGACTGCATCCCAGTGTCCCAGGATCCCAAGGTCATGACCTGAGCTGAAAGCATATGCCTAAAGGACTGATCCACCCAGTGCCCCAACACAAGGGAACTGTTTAAATGAATTGTAATATATCCATCAGATGGGATACTATGAAATCATAAACAAGAATGAAATGGCTCTACATATAGGGGAATGAACCACTTTCCATACTAAAAAAGAAAAGACCCAAGTGCAGAACAGTGTGGAAAATGTTATGATTTGTGTAGAAACTAAAGAGAAGCTTTACATGTGAGCACTTACATGTGCATTGAATGGATATTTCTGAAAGGAAATCCCAGACACTGCTTCTGGATATGGTCTCCAGATGGGAGACTGCAAAGCAGGGCTTCAGACATGCAAAGGAGGCTGGCTCTCCGCTGACCACATTTTTTCAATGTTATAAAATGTGCACGCATATCGATTAAATTTTTCATTAACTTAAAAATAGAAATGAACACCTGAAGATATTCATTCTCAGTTGTAACATTTTTTTCAAAGATGATAAACAAATGGCCAACAGATACATGAAAAGATGCCCAGCAGCACACATCATCAGAGAAATGCAAATCAAAACCACAATGAGATAAAAGCAGCACCTCACACCTGTTAGAATGGCTATTATAAAAAAAGACAAGAAAAGTGTTTTGGCGAGGATGTGGAGAAAAGGGAACTGCTTCTGGAAATCCAAAGGAAGTGAAATCACTATCTCAAAGAGATATCCTCATACCCATGTTTGTTGCAGCATTATTTATAATAGCCAAGACATGGAAGCAATCCAAGTAGCGGTTGATGAATGGATGGATAAGGAAATGTGGTATGTATTATATAATTCAACCGAAGGAAGGAAATGTTGGCATTTGCAATATGGATGGACCTCACAGGTATACAGGTATTATGCTAAGTGAAAGAGATCAGAGGTAAAAAAAAAAAAAAAAAAAAAAAACCTGTGTGATTTTTTTTTTATTTTTTTATTTTTAAGTAATGTCTACACCCAGTGTGGGTGCCTGGCTCAAACTCACTAGCCCAAGACCAAGAATCACATGCTTTACTCACTGAGACAGCCAAGCATCCCTAATGTGTGATCTTACTTGTATGCACAATCTTTAAAAAAAAGAAAAAAGAAAGAAAAAACTCCAAACTCACAGAAGCAGAGAGTAGATTGCTTGTAGTCAGATGCTGAGGGGTGGGGGAAATGGATGAAGGTGGCCAAATACTCAGACTTCCAGTAATAAGATGAGTAAGTTCAGCACAGTGACTGCAGTTAACAATATTATATTGTACACTTGCAAATTGCTAAGCATAAATCTTAAAAATTCTCACCACACACACACACACACACACGCACACACAGGGTAAATATATGAGGTGATGGATGTGTTAACTAACCTTATAGTGGTAAAATGATACATTTGTGTATCAAATCGTTACACTGTACACCTTAAACTTACACAGTGTCATATGTCAATTATATCTCAATAAAACTGAAAAAAATAGCTATAATAAGGGAAGTGCAAAATAAAACAATGAGATTATATTTTTCACCCATCAGACTGGCCAGCATTTTCAAGTCTGGTGTCAAGTGTTGGCTCATACTGGCTCTGTCAAACTTCGTTGATGGTGGAATAAAATGATACAGCTAACTCTAAAACAACGTGGCAGTACTTAGTAGGATGTGTTTGCCCTATGACTGTGTGATTGTATTTTCCAGTGTCTGTTCAAAGCCCACGTTAGAGCCAGGACCCTCCTATGGCTCTGCATTAGCCCTACAGGAGCATGGTTATCTCTGTGGGTGCTGGTCAAAGGTCACAGGCCTTGCTGTACTCTTTCCAGTGTTTTCTTTTCTTTTTAAAAGATTTTTGTTTATTTGTTCATGAGAGACACAGAGAGAGAGGTAGAGACATAGGCAGGGGGAGAAGCAGGTTGCCTCCAGGGAACCTGGTGTGAGATTCGATCCCAGGACCACGGGACCACAACCTGAGCCAAAGGCAGAGGCTCAACCACTGAGCCACCCAGGTGCCCCTATTTCCAGTGTTTTCTAACACAAAGAGAATGTACTCATGTGTTATTTATGTAATAAAATGTTTTAAAAATGTAAAGTATTTTACAAACTTGATTCTCAAGAAAAGTGTGGGAAAAGAAAAAGAGAAATGGAGAGTGGAAAAAATATTTCTATGGCCTAAGGTAACCACTTTGACATTTGACATTTTCTCTTCATTGAATTTTTTTGTGCATAGTTTCTCCCTGGGCGGTGTTGAGAGGCAACATAATTTCGTATCCTGTTTTTCCCGCTAACTTCATAACTTGGCATTGGTTAACACCCACATAGTCTCTCTCCACATCTCCTCATGGCCTGAGGGAAGGAAGGCAGGTGGTTAGGGGTAGGAGGTGGAAATGGGATGGGAATTCGGTGTCTCTGGGTAACCCTAAGGAGAGGTTCATTTTTGTCTGGATAATTCTCGGTTATGGGGGACTTTCCTACATTCTGTAGGATGTTTAGTAGCATCCCTGGCCTCTGCCCACTAAGACCAGTAGTACCTCTCCTCCAGTTGTGACAGCCAACGATGTCTTCAGACATTGCCAAATGTCATCTGGAATAGAGTTTCAGATTTAAATAATAGAGATAAATTTGGATTTCAGATAAACAAGAAATAATTTCCTACTATAGGGGCACCCGGGTGGCTCAGAGGTTGAGTGTCTGCCTTTGACTCAGGGCATGATCCCAGAATCCTGGGATCGAGTCCCACATTGGGCTCCCTGTAGGGAGCCTGCTTCTCCCTCTGCCTATGTCTCTACCTCTCTCTCTGTGTCTCTCATGAACAAATAAACAAAATCTTAAAATAATAATAATAATAATAATTTCCTACTGTAAGTTTATCCCAAAGATACACTGGATAGGGGAGATACACTAAAAAACTACTTGTTTATCTGAGACTCAAATTTAACTGGTGGCATATATTTTATCTGGCAACCTGGGGGTAGGGATGAAGGGATCACCCTCTGTTCAGAGCTCCTGCCATCAGGGTGCCAGACATAAGGGAGCAGACGGAGGAGATCCTTGCTCTGTGGGCCTTATGATCTCATTCAGGATTCCATGTTGAGAGGGCCATGGATTCCTCAGGTTCCTGATTGGACGGGGCCCTTCAACTTCTGATTCTGCTTCTCTCTCCTCCCACTTGAAGAGCTCTCTGCCAAGGTTTCCATGACCTAGTCACACTCTGATCCCAGCAGGTGGAGGTCACAACACTGAGCCTCCAGCAGGCCAGTGTAAAGGGCCAGTGCCTTCTGGGGTCTGCATCCCCCCAGGAAGCCTACCTGGGAATCAGAGAGCTTTGAGGCAGGCTCACAGGGCCTCCCCTGCTCCCGGGTTTGGAGATGTGGGGGCCTGGGGGATGGGACCACTGAGCCTGGCAGAGGTCACTGCAAGAGGGGAACAGATTCAGAATCTGGGAACAGTGGATGAGACTGTGCTAGGTGCTAGGGAGGCAGCAGCTGACGGGCCAAGCTGGTCCCTGTGCAGGTGGGCACGTATGGAAGGTGCAGACAGGGAGAATGGTTGGTGCTGTCTGAGAGAGGGCATCCAGAGTATTGGCTTGAACTGGTCTAGGGGGCAAAAGGGTGATCAGTGGGTGGTGAGTCCATTCTGGACATATGTGGATTCCAAGGCATTTGGGGCATTTGGGGTCCAGGGAGCGAGAGAACTATGGATCTGGGCTCCAGAGAGAAATGTGCTCAGAAGCCCTGGGGATTGGCAGGAGTTGGGAGGAGAGAGAGAAGACAAAGACAGTGGGGACAGAGTCTGGGAGCCTCCGTATGCAGGGGCAGTGACAGGGACTTAGAAGAAACAGTCAGAGGGCTAAGTAGGCGTTGAGTCCAGAGGACTAGAAGAGAAGAGAGGTCCCAGGATGGAGCAGTGGGCAGCCAGCAGCACTGCTGAGAGGACAGGTGGGCTGGAGGTGGCCGTCAGGGGCACTGAGGACACAAGCCAGCACAGTTCTGGGCATCCCACTTTAGGACAAATATTCATGGGAAGAGAAGATCTGGGAAAGGATTAACTATCACTTGGGGAAATGTCCAAATGAACTGGGGAGGCTAGCATGAGAAGAAACCTCCCAGGGTTATGAATGACCCATAGCTGCAGCCCCTCAGAGTGCCTGGGGCCGCAACACCAGTATACCCTCTGCCCCAGCTCACTCTGCTCCAACACATCTGGCCTCCTCACTCTCCTCAGATATGTCAGATGGGCTCTTACCCCAGGGCCGTTGCACCTACTGTTCCCTCTGCCTGGAGTATTTCCCTAATACATCCTCATCTCCTTTGGGTTTTTACTCAAATGTTATCTTCTCCATTAGGCCTTCCCTGACAATCGATTTAAAATAGCAACAGCCCTCCCTGTATTACCTAATCCCCTTCCTTACTTTATTTTTCTCCGTAACATTTATCACCATCTAATAAAACCTTATTAAATTTTAAAAGTTTTTTTGTTTTGCTTTGAATGGATAATATATTCCCACAGTTCAAGATTCAAAGTCATGTCCAGTCTTGTACTAGAACAACTAGTACTGCAACAGATAAGCTTATGCATGCATCATTTTACTGTACGGGGGAAGCTCTAGGCTACAGTCCCAGAAGTGGGGTTGCTGAGCCAAGGGGTACATGCATTTCTAATTTTATCTTACTTATTAATTTTTTTCCTGCTCTTTCGACTAGAATGTAAGCTCCAGTATCCCCAGTGCTTCAAACAAGGTTTGATGCATAGTAGGTGATCATAAGTATATACTGAATGAACGAGGAACCCATTCCTGAAGCCTGAACATACACACTCCTGATGACCATCCCCATGTCTGCCCCCTTCCCAACCTCAGGGCTATGGATCCTTGTAGATCCTTGAATATGGCACATAGTCTGCAGTGGACCCACATCCCCTTCAGAAAGCAAAAACCTTTTCCTCAGATTTCTAAGACTGCTTCTTCTCTCACTGTTTCCCCTACTTTACCCAGAAAGGCATTTTAAAAATATGTCTACAAAGCAGTATGCATAATTTCACCTATAAATTCCCTTCCCTGACTACAGTTTTCTCTTTTCTAATAATTTACAAAATCACTAAATACTGGAAGAATTATCAGGTGGCAGAGAAAGCAGGCTCATTTTCAAAAATGGAATTCATCCATGGAGTGTTTATGTTGTGCCTGACCCTGTACTGGTGATGAGAGAGGACAAGGAGAACATGATGAAAATCATCCCTTGCCATCAGAGGTTCATCATTCACAGGCAGAGAACATTCAGGAAGTTTCCTTGAGGGTAGGGACTCAGTGTCTGGTTTATTCAAGATAGACAACCCCTACACACACACACACACACACACACACACACACACACTGATTAGCTGGTTAACGTTTAAGTCCCCAGGGCCTCTGGCACAAGAGTGAAGAAATGGACTTGAATAATTCTCCCATTTTTCCTTACCTGTTGAAAAGACCGTTTTTTGTTGTTGTCGTCGGTTGGTTAGTTGACTGTTGGTTTCATGTTTCCGGGAGTGTCTGTTGATATTTGTCTGTGTCAACTGTTTAACTTCAGGGAACTTGGCCACTCTGACTCCAGGAGATCCCCTTTGGACCCCTCAGGGAACACCCAGGTCCCATTAGGACTTTCCCTTTGGCTTCCAGGTGTTTTAGGATTGAGGACGGAGGAGTGGGTAAAATATGGAGCCAGATTGACCGGGATCCAAAGCCTCGCCCAACCCATTGGTAGCTGTGAGGTCTTGGGCAACCAAGATCCAAACTCCCTTCATGTTGTGTTCCAGCCCCACCTATGCTTCATGCCTTTCCTAGAATCAACCACCTGATAAAGAGGAGGGAAGGGGTAAAGTCCAGCACCTATGACCCAGGCAGGGTTGGGCTGGAGGCAGAAGGTTCCAGGATGGCAATCCTCCTGGTCCAGTGAGCAATTTATAACAAAAACTGGAACCCATGGGATCATTCCATGGGGGCGGGGCGGGGTGGGATGGTCTTTTGCAGTTCCAGATCCAAACACCGTTTGGCTCCTAACTTAGACTTTCTGCATTTTCTGAGAAGTCCAGATATAAATTAAAGCATTGCTTGGATCTCTTTAATCTCATCTGGCACTCAAGTATCCATAGCATGTTCAACCAGGGGAACTCTTTTTTTTTTTTTAATTTTTATTAATTTTATGATAGTCACAGAGAGAGAGAGAGAGAGGCAGAGACACAGGGAGAGGGAGAAGCAGGCTCCATGCACCGGGAGCCCGACGTGGGATTCGATCCCGGGTCTCCAGGATCGCGCCCCGGGCCAAAGGCAGGCGCCAAACCGCTGTGCCACCCAGGGATCCCAACCAGGGGAACTCTTAATAAACTTTGTGGAGGCCGAGAAAATTAAGGCCATTCCACCTTAAGTTCAGCGTTAGCACGAGTACAGCCATCTCAGGCCCCCATGAATAAGAGCTGAACTTTACCTTACTTCAGTTAAGCCCCATATTAGAATGAGAACAGAGCTCAAGCCAGTGGCGGAAAGTCCCATATCAGAATGAGAACAGAGCTTAATGCCCTTGAAAGCCCCACATCAGAATGTAAACAGAACTTGAGAAATTCCTCCACCCCTTCTGGAGGTCCCCTAGACCAGCCCATAAAACTAAGCTGGAGGGGTCCAAGTTCCTGCTCTGCTGTGTCAGGTACACTTGGACCCAAGCTCGAGCTTGTAAATAAACCCTCGTGCGCTTGCATCGGTGTCGAGTCCTTGGTGGTTTCTCGGATACGTAATCTTGGGCACAACAACTTCGGTAAACAGAAAAGTCTAGAAGATTTCTAGACATTAAACACCTGCCTCAGTGTTTATGCTGGAATGAGGAATTGCAAATTTCTTTGTGGACTGGGTCACCAAGAACAGGTCCTTTAAAACTTAAAGATAAAGCACCTGAAAATTCTTTTGACTCTCAAGAAACTGAAGATTTGAGAGAGCTTGAAGCAGCCTTTACTTGAAGGTGACTCAATGGTTATTTCAAGAGATGATATTGATTAAGACTATTTGACTTTAAAACAAGAACAAAACCCCCTGCAGATTTTAGGTGGTGACTGGATCAGTAGATAAGGAAATGTCCTTTCAATCCCTACATTGGTGCTGTCCAAAGTGGAGTAGCCCAGGGGAGGTGCAGGAGACCTAGCAACTAAACCAATATATAGACTTTGTCTGGATCCTCATTCAGACAAATTAACTATAAAAGATAAAACTAGCTCAGTATTTGAGACTGAGCAGATCTTGATAACCATTGAAGCTGCCTGATGGGTACATGGGACTGAATTTGCTGTTCTTTCTACCTCTGCATATGTTTGATTTTTTTCATAACAAAAGTGAAAGAAAGTAAAATAAGGCCCCCCCAAAAAAAGAGTATTTCAAATGTTAAGACCAAATTCTTCTCTTTCCTTACATATCAATCATTAAAACCATGCCACATTTTTTTTTATTTACTTCATATTTGAACCACAATTTTCTGGTACAGTTTTGTGTTTTTCCTGGAGTTTCTTGGCATCTTTCCCATTCCTTTATGGAGAAGAGACATATGCCTTCTTTATCATATGACTAAGAACTTCTAACTTCTTAATTGTACAATTTATTAACTGGAATTCAATTTATTCTTGAAGACATTTTTAAGATGCCATTATCAGAGCCTATGTTTTCCAGTTCTAATTTAAATGGAATACTTCTAGGCAAAGAGTTATTACCCTGGAGGTTCTTTTCATTGTGTGTCTGGGTTAGTTATTGTTTCTTGGCTATTAGGCCAGGCTAGCCAGAAGCAGAGCCTGAGGTAAGGATTCTGGTGTAAGTAAGAGTACTCTACTCCTGCAGTTGATCACCATCACCAGAATAAAACAGGGGAAGAAAACTAAACAAGGAAGTATTCTTGGCTGGAGACTAGCTTCAATGGGGATTCCACGAAGACTCTGGAGTCCATCTCCCCATCTCCCGGTGAAATTGGGGTAGTGGGGGAGGTGGGGAGGGCAGCTGCATTTTATGCAGTTAACTCACAGCAGCCAAGCAGCCGGTGCATCAGACAGCTGAAGGTGATTCCAGAGCACCAACCCCAACTCCAGTGGTTCCCAAACTTGTTAAAACACAGATAGCCGAACCCACATCCAGAGTTTCCAATTCAGTAGGTCAAGGGTTGGACCTGAGAATTTGCATTTCTAACACTTTACTAGATGCTGCCCTTGGCTCTATACTTAGAGACTGAAAGCACTACATTATGTCTTCTTTTTTTGTTTTCCTGGAGCACAAGCTCAAGTAACTTTTTTCAGCAAGACTGCATGGGAGGTAAGCCTTCTTCATTCTCACAAATCTATTTGTACTCTTCACTTCTTTTTTAGTTTGGCTGATTCAAAAACATTTGCCCCAATTTTGCAGGCCATTGTTTCCTAGTTTCTCACTCCAGAGAAGTCTGATGTTAATTTGATCTTTATACCTTTATAGATAATCTGTTTATTTGTTTTCAATTTCCAGAAGTTGGGGTGCTTTCTGAGACCTCATGAGACTCTAGGCATGCATGTTTTTTGTTTGTTTTTTATTCTGTCCTGCATTCAATATGCCCTTTTAGTCTAAAACTTATTCTTTTTCTGGTGAAATTTTCTTCTATTATGCCTATCTTCCTGCCTCTATTTTCCCTTTTCATTCGGGAAATTTTATTATACAAATATTAGGCCTCTTGAATCGATTCTTTGTGATCCAATTTTTTTCCCTCTTAAATTTTTTTTCTTTATCTTCTTGGAAAATTCCATGACTTTTGCTTCTAGATATGTTGTTGTTGTTTTTTAACTTATTTTTTAAGTAGACTCCAAGCTTGGCATGGAGCCCAATGTCGGATTCGAACTCACAACCCTGATATCAAGACCTGAGCTGAAATCAAGAGTCAGATGCTCAACTAACTGAGCTACTTGACACCCCTGCTTCTAGATAATTTTTAAGTAAATCGTTTATTTGGGAGTAATTTTAGATTTACAGAGAAGTTGCCAGGATAATACAGGGAGTTTTCATATACCCTTCACCCAATTCCCTCTAATGTTAGCATCTTATATTCCCATAGTATATCAAAACTGAGAAATGAACATTCATACATTACTGAAACTCCACATTTTTTATTCCAATTTCAATACCTTTCCCACTGTTTTCTTTTTTTTTCTTTCAGGACTCTATCCAATACAGCACATTGTGTTTAGTCATGTCTCCTAAGTCTCCTCTCTGACAGTTTCTCAGTCTTTCCTTATTTTTTGTCTTTTTTCTTTTTTTAATCACTTTGACAGTTGTTTTAAAAAGATTTTATTTATTTATTCATGAGAGACACAGAGAGGCAGAGAGAGAAGCAGGCTCCCTGTGATGAGCCTGATGTGGTACTTGATCCCAGGACCCTGGGATCACGACCTGAGCCAAAAGCAGATGTTCAACCACTGAGCCACCCAGGAGCCCCCACTTTGACAGTTTTTTTTAAAGATTTTATTTATTTATTCATGAGAGACAGAGACAGAGGCAGGGACATAGGCAGAGGGAGAAGCAGGCCCCCTGCAAGGAGCCCAATGCGGGACTCAATCCCGGGATCCTGGAATTAGGCCCTGAGCCGAAGGCAGATGCTCAACTGCCAAGCCACCCAGGCATCCCCATTTTGACAGTTTTGAAGAGTATTAGCCAGATATTTTGTAGAACATCCCTCAATTTGGACTTCTTCCCATGACCAGGCTGGAGTGGGTAGGTTGCTTGGGGAGAGAATACCACAAAGGTGAAGTACCTCTTTCATCACATTGTATCTGCTGGTGACAGTACCCTTGATCACTTGATTAAAGCAGTGTTTGTTAGAGTCGTCCGCTGTAAAGTTACTATTTTTCTCCTTTGCATACTCTATTCTTTGGAAATGAGTCACTCAGTACAGCCGCATTCAAGAGAGAAGAGACAATTAAGCTCCATCTGGAGGAGAGTAGCTACATATGTTACTTGGAATTCTTCTGTAAGAAAGATTTATCCTTTTCCCCCAATTATTTATTTATTCAATCATTTAGGTCAGCCTGGACTCTTGTATATTTGTTTTATATTTTGGGTTATCCTCCAATACTACACTATTTATTTTGTTGTTCCGATTGTTCCAGCTCTGGCCATTGAGAGCTCTTTCAGATTGGCTCCTGTGTCCTGCTGACATGCCCGGTCCTGATTTATTTAAGCACTTCCTTACTTTCTGGCACTAGTTTCTAGACTTTTAAATTATATTTTTTACTTTGGCAATCATACTTTTCATTTCCCAGAATTCTTTCCGGGTTTTTTTTTTTTTTTAAGAAATGTATTTCTTGTTTTATGAATCCACAGTAACCTCAAATTGGAATTTATTTCTAATCCTAATGTTGTAAATGCTGTTTACTGGATTTAAATGATCAGCATTACTCTCTAGATAAAGCATAAAAGATTTAATTCTGGTTACAGGACATATGTAAATATAACTCACGGCAATGTAACAGTAATAGTATAGCTGTCAGAGTCAGAATGGGGTGGAGGAGAGGCGAATGGTATACAAATGTTAATTTCTTCATATTTCATAGTAGAACCTATGAGATATAGCTAATGTGAATAGAACCAGAAATAAAGATTGTAGATGATTCTTGAGCTTAAGGTAATAGAAGAAAAAACTAACAGTATGACT